TTAGTTGTTACATCTCCCGTGTTGATACGTACCCGAAGATCGGAAATCCCCTAGTGTTTTGCGACTCTAGTCCAAACTACAATATCCAAGTACTCCGACTTCGCTGTCAAGGTACTCGTACTTCATCATGAGTCAAGTGGCTGATTACTCATGATATTTCTCACAACTCTTTGGCCATCCTCCTTAAAAGACTTCTTCTCGATTAGGTAGGCGGAGACTTCCACGTACGATCCTCCGGCATGAAGGTCAATTCGTTCACAAAAGAAGGATTGATTTTCGCCTATTTCTAGGCACATGCATTCTCAAGAGTTGCAACTTATTCGCTCTCTTGAACCTTTCGCATTGACTTAAGGATGTCACGAAACAAGACTCTAAATTTACGAGAACGGATAATGATCAACAGAAAAATTAAGACTTTAACCCCATCAGAAATCTCATCCTACGTGAGAAAAGAAAAGACAAGAGAAATTTCCAAATAACGAAAGTTACATAACCAATAGAAGTCTCAAAGAAAAATTCAAAATAACCAATAAGAGTCTCAAACGAAATTCGAACTTGTCTAACATGACATAGGGAATTAAACAAGGTCTGCCAAAAGGTTACGAGAAATGCAATTCTAACAAAAGAAAGAACAAATAATCATCTCAAATTCGACATTAGATCAACTGCTCAGCCTTGGTTCAGCTAGGCTTCATTTGCCGAACCTCGGTCGGGCCTGCTGATGTTGCTGTTGTGGCCGGTAAATCTATTGCTGAGGTGGCGGCGAGGGAGGCTGCTGAAATGGTCCCTGTTGTTGCCTCCTTGGTTCGGGGCACATGTTGGCATAATGCCCGAGGCACTGACAGTTGTAGCAGGTCTTCTGAGCGGCCCAACACTCTCCTGGATGGTTCTTTCCACAAGAGGCACACCTCGGAACCTGATTCTGAGCTACGGGGCAGTCGTCATGTCTATCTGATCCACTACGTTTTTCTTCCGGTTATCCCGGTGGGGACCTGCCTTCCTCTTGCCCAAATTAGAGCCGGGGCGGCGCGGAGGAAATGGGATGAACTAGCAGAGCAGAAGGGACATAAGCATCGAGAGTCTGAAAACTCTCCAGCCGAATGGCTCGAATAACGGTCTCATCGTAGGGGAGGTCCCCTTGGCTAACAACGTGCATACGGAGAGTCGGGTGTAGTCCATCCCGGAACTTGTTAGCCTTCTTCAGATCGGTGTCTACCATATGAGGAGCAAAGGCGCTCATACGGGTGAACTCCCGCTCGTATTCCTCAACTGATCCTGCCCCCTGGTTGAGATCCCAGAAAGCACTCTCCATTCCCATGCGATAACTCTGAGGATAATACTTGGTTAGAGGTATGCTGTAAAAGCTATGTTTTGCAGATTCTATCAATTCCATTTTGATCTGGCCATCATGTTTCGGTCAAAGTACATATGTTTGCAGTTTATTTATTTATGCAAATCATACTCCATGTCTCATATTGAGATAGTGTGGTTCGAAGAGTTTCGAACAGAAAGATCACCTATCGTTTCCTTATAAGACTAAACTATTCGTTCATTGTCTAGACAGGCAGTAAGACCCCTCTTGGAAAAAGACTGTAGTGTATTCTTTATTTAGTTGGTCTTTGACTGAAGGATTACACTAGCACTTATGTTAAGTGTTGAACAGGACCACGGAAGGATAAGGATATGAGACTCACTGACCGTTGTTGTAACCTAGACCTTCAGTGATTGATGCGTTCTCTTAAGCTGTAAGATAATATAAAATTGACATATATTTTTATTTCTTATTTTGATTTACCAAGTGATTCCTATTTTATTAGGATGACATACGAGGTATTTTGGTAAGTAAGAATAATTATATGATGTGCTATTATAAATTATTTACAGTCACTATGTTCAGTGTGCTGGATTGATGGCGTCACCGAAATGAGCTCAGGAAAGTACATTATGTTAAACCCTGCAGGTAGACGATTGTCTGGCATAATGGTTAAGGATCTGAGTGGTACTAATTTCAAAAATGAATAAGAAGTTGATTAATTATTTTGTCAGTAATTTAATTAATCAACGGACGTTATATCTTAAACATAGGGAGGTAAATCGATCAATCAGATTAATATGATTTAATCATGGAGGCTCAATTTTATTGGTAAAATAGTGGCTAAATGGGGAGAGCAATAATATTACTCTAGTGGGATGTTTTATTATTTAATTTAATTTAAATAGGAATTAATTTTATTCCAAATTAATTAATTTAATTAGGAGAATAAAATTCCTACTAGAATCTTCTCTTGGGATTAGGAGACTAAGGAGTCTTCTAGAAGATGGAGATTAGTTGGAAATATATTTCCTACATTAAAGAATTAATTGGAGTAGAATTAGGCTTCCTACATTAGGAATTAATTTTATTCCATGATTATTAATTTAATTAGGAAAGATATTCCTACTAGGATCTCCTCTAGTATTAGGAGACTAAGGAGTCTTCTAGAAGATGGAGATTAGTAGGAGATCTCCTTCCTACATTAGATTAGTATTGGAGTAGAATTAGGATTCCTAGGCCTAAATGGGATAAGCCCATATTTAGCACCTCCTTAAGGTCCCTAATGGAGCCTATAAATACACCATGTCCCAATCTCTCCTACATAGATATGCTGGCCGACTTTTCTCTCTACATACACACGAGAAATAGCTTTGCTCGAGAGTTAGGGAGATTAGATTAAACGCTCCACCAAGTTTGATCGAAGTAGGTGTTTAGGTAATCCATTAGAAGGCTTTTTGGTACAATATATTGAGCCTCTAATACATATTTCATTCCGGTCATCATCATCCTCACATCGCCGCCCATCGCCGCCGTGAGCCACCGCCGGAATTCGCCCATCGCCGCCGGTCGCCGCTCGAACCCAGCCACGCGCAACCGCAAGCTACCGCGAGCAGCAGCGCACCACCGAGTCCAGTTCGCGACGCTCAGCGACGCTCAGCAACGCCCGCGAACTCCCAGCGAGCAGCCTGTTTGCACGCCCGTTCGCTTCTGCTGCCAGCCGACGTTCGCCCGAGGTCCCAGCGCTCGTCCGCAACGCGCCTGCCATTCCTCGTACGTCCAGGAGATTTGCAGCGCACAGCGCCCAGTCCGCCTATGCATAGGAGTGCTACCCCGCGTGCACGCACACGGCCAGCGCTAGTCCGTGACCGCCTAGGAGTCCCGCCAGCGCACGTCCGCAACACGCACGCTGCCAGCGCTCGTTCGCTGCGACCCGCGTACCCACACGCTGTCTGCACCCGACGCGCACAAGCCGCCGCTGCAACCCGACGCCGAGACCGAGCCACCGTGCAACCTTGATCCGTTTGACGTGTCGATTAGAATCGACTAAAGGCCAAATCTATCCGCTCATTAGATTGTGGTGTTCAAACGAACTTCATCAACGGTACTCTACATCGTCTCAGAGTCGGCAAAAATTTAAAAGGTAAACGTCCATATCCTAACTATAGATTCCGTTGCGTTAGGATTTATTTCGATAAAGTTCAATACTGTGCATGTTGTTTGATTTTCCTCACAGAACCCAACAACTGGTATCAGAGCCCAGGTTTAATTCAACCTCGTGCACAGTTTGGATTTTGGACTTTGCCTGTGTACATGAATTATGTGCGTACGGACGCAACGACATAGTAGATTAGAAATTGCAATAAGTTTTTGCAGGTATTTCGAATCCGACTATTGTGGCCCGTATGTATGGATTTTAATTCATGTTGAATGTATGCTGTTTTTAAAGCCTTGGACATGTCAAGGAATTTTTGGGTTGGTGAATGCTTGTAATAAATTATTCGCGCGGTGGGACACCGCATAGTTTATTGCTTTCATAGAAACTCATGTACGGCTCCTGCGTGGGTCATAGGATGAATTATGTAATTGTTTTGTATTATTCATTATTGATCCGGCGGGCGTGGACCAACCTTGACGGGGCAAGGCGATAAACACGTACACGGATGCCATGGTGATGATCCAATGGCGACTTTCCCGGAGACAACCAATTTAGTGGGAGTCACTGCGAAAGGGGAGTTCCAATACCTGAAACGGAGGACACACTCAACAAGGACAGGACTGTGTTTTCTCCGTAACATTGGAGATTGATTAATGGCCATGATAGTTGGATTATAGTTTCTAGTTTATTATTGCTCATTAATCATGCATGTTTTTTGTGATTGCTTATGTGTAAATACAAACATGTTTTAGAAAATCCCATAAAATAAAAATTATATTAAGTGTGTAATGGGTTGAAATAAATTACATCCAAGGCCTCCATTACAGGTTTGTCAGTGAAGTGATTTCATTCGAGCCTAAAAGACGTTTTATTTCACAGTTCACAAGGACGAATCTCCTTCGGGATGGTTATAGTGAGCTATTTCAAAAACGTACGGGTCACCCAAAGGTGGACGTATAATTTTGGTAGTAAACTTAGTACCAATTAATGGGTTACACTTAAAGTGCAAATAATTACGATAGTCCCAAAGGATAAGGTCGTTTTTATTCTTTTATAAAGTTAATTGCGCTGGCCAAAAGATGAAACCGACTATTAGTTAAGTATTGCTCGGCAGCATGTTAAGCTAATGGGATTTATCCCTCTTCTTGCGAATGTTTGAACCGTAGACATCCACACTCCGTGGCCTACGGGGATTCGGTGTTTTGAGGTGTTGGTGAATTTATTTGAATATTGTTACATGGGATCAATATTTGATGTATAAATTCAAAACTACTTGACTGAGTAAAGACTATGTTTGCATGATCCCAGGAATTCAAAATGTCTTTCAATCCGTTGTCCATAATTATCAAAGAAAACAAACTTGTTGGTCCCAATTATATTGACTGGAAAAGGAACTTGGATATAGTGTTAACTGCTGAAGGGTACAAATTTGCTACTGTTGAGGCTTGTCCGGCTGTGCCTGCTGACAATGCACCAGACCAAGAGAAAGAGGAGTATGCTCGGTGGAAAAAGGCTGACGAGATGGCGAAGTGTTACATCTTGGCATCCTTGTCAAATGTACTTCAACATCAACATCAGTCTATGAACACTGCAGCAGACATGCTCCTCAGTCTCAAGGAGTTATTTGGTCATCAGTCGCGGGCTGCCCGACAAGAGGCCACGAGGGTTCTGATGAACATGACCATGCACGAGGGCACTCCCGTAAGGGAACATGTTCTTGCTATGATGGCCCAGCTGAATGAGCTGGAGGTTCTTGGGGCTTTTATTGACGGGGAAACCCAGGTCGATATAGTGCTCCAGTCTTTGCCGAAGAGCTTCGAACAATTTCGGTTGAATTACAACATGAATAAGATGTTGATGACTCTTCCAGAACTTGTTACTGAACTTCAGTCGACAGAGGGCCTGTTTCGTCAGATGACCCAAGCTATGGTGGCCCAGCGGGGAGAAGCATTAACTTCTAAGGCCTCTAAGGGCGAGAAAGGGAAGAAGTTCGCAGGAAAGGGCAAGGCGGTCATGAGTGACGCGCAACCTCGACAAAAAGCGAAGAAGTCGAAAGGCAAGTGCTACAATTGTCAGCAGAAAGGACACTGGATGGCAAGCTGCCCTCTTCCTAGGAAATCCGACAAAGGTACACGTTTTGCTTTAGTCGTTGAAACATGTTTAGCGGTGTTATCTACCAGTACCTGGTGTATAGATACAGGGGCCATTGATCATGTCTGCAATTCATTGCAGGGGTTCCAGAAAACCAAGCGACTTAGGGAAGGAGAAGCTACCATCTACTTGGGCGATGCTAGTAGAGCGTCAGCAGTTGCAGTGGAAGATGTCTATTTAGATTTTGGCTTAGATAGGTTTCTAGTTTTGAAAGATTGTCTTTATGTTCCTAGTTTTAGAAAGAATTTGATTTCAGTTTCTAAGTTGTTTATGAACGGTTTTTCCGCTACGTTTGATAATAAAGTTGTTATTCGTTTTCGCAAAAAGTTCATATGTTCTGGTTCATTAGTTGACAATCTATACATTCTAGAATCTAAGTCATCTCCACTGCAACAGAAACAATTACTTAATTCATCATCTAATCCAAATAAGAGGAAGGAACCTTCTAAAATGAACGAAACATATCTCTGGCATCTAAGACTTGGTCATATTAACCTTAGGAGGATTCAAAGTTAGCAGACGGGCCCTTGGGGTCGTTAGAAGTCGAGGCTTTTCCAACTTGTGAGTCTTGCCTGGAAGGAAAAATGACTAAGAGGGTTTTTAGTTCAAAGGGGCATAGAGCCGAAGATGTGTTAGGGCTAGTTCATTCCGATCTATGTGGTCCTATGAGTGTTCAAACGAGAGGTGGTTCTGAGTACTTCGTTACGTGTATCGATGATTACTCGAGATATGGGTACATTTTCCTTCTGCACCGCAAGTCTGAATGCTTTGAGAAGTTCTTAGAGTATAAGGCAGTTGTAGAGAAGCAGTTAGGAAAAAGTATCAAGTCATTACGATCAGATAGTGGTGGCGAATATCTCTCGAATGAATTTAGGAGCTACTTGACGGTTAATGGGATTACGTCCTAGCTGACTGCGCCTGACACGCCTCAGCAGAATGGCGTAGCAGAACGGAGGAATAGGACTCTTATAGAAATGGTTAGGGCAATGATGAGTTATAGTACTTTACCAGATTCGTTTTGGGGGATATGCCCTAGAAATAGCGGTATATATTATGAATAGAGTACCTTCTAAATCAGTACCGTCTACGCCATTGGAGTTGTGGTCTGGGCATAAGCCTAGTCTAAGGCATCTCAGGATTTGGGGTAGTCCAGCACATGTGCTGAGAACCGATACTGATAAGTTGGAACCAAGAACATAAGTAAGGCTGTTTGTGGAATATCCTAAGGAAACGAAAGGTGGTCTATTTTATAGTCCCGAGGACCAGAAAGTAACCGTTAGCACGAACGCTAGGTTCTTGGAAGAAGACTATGTCTTAGATCATAAGCCCAGTAGTAGACATGTTCTTGAGGAGTTAAAGGGAGTGAGTACTTCAATACCGAGTGCGCTAGATGTTACACCACAAAGTACTGCAACACGTATCGCTGATGATGCACCTGAGAAGGTAGTACCTCGTCGTAGTGGGAGGGTTGTCCGGCAGCTCGAATGGTTCATGGGTCTGGGAGAGTCTTCTCAGGCCGTCTCGGACGTTCTTGAATCCGACCCATGGACATACAATGAGGCACTCCAAGATCGGGACGCAGAGTCTTGGCAAAAGGCGATGAAATCTGAAATAGGGTCAATGGACTCTAATCAGGTCTGGGATCTTGTAGAGCCACCCAGTGGCTTCCGCGCCATTAGATGCAAGTGGGTCTATAAGAGAAAGAGAGGAGCAGATGGGAAGGTTGAGACCTTTAAAGCTAGGCTTGTTGCGAAAGGGTACACTCAGAAAGAAGGGATCGATTATGAGGAAACCTTTTCGCCGGTAGCCATGCTCAAATCCATCAGGATTCTCTTGGCTGTGGCCTCTCATATGGATTATGAGATTTGGAAAATGGATGTTAAGACCGCTTTCCTTAACGGGAATTTGGACGAGGACATCTATATGCAGCAACCAGAAGGATTCGTTGCAAAGGGCCAAGAGCATCTGGTCTGCAAGCTGAAGAAGTCCATTTATGGGCTGAAGCAGGCTTCGAGGTCTTGGAACATCCGTTTTGACGAGGTTGTCCAATCGTATGGATTCACCCAATGTCCGGATGAGCACTGTGTGTACAAGAAAAGTGATGGAAACGTGGTGGTGTTTCTAGTGCTGTACGTGGATGATATTCTTCTCATTAGAAACAATGTGAAAATGTCATCAGATGTAAAAGTATGGTTATCCAAGCAGTTTGATGTGAAGGATTTGGGATAAGTAGGACATGTTCTCGGAATCAAGGTCATTCGCGACCGAGAGAAGAGAAAGTTGTGCCTATCCCAATCCACATACATAGACACTGTCCTAAAGCGTTTCAACATGCAGGATTCCAAGAAAGGGGATTTACCCTTTCGGCACGGAATACCTCTATCTAAGAGGATGTCCCCGAAGACGCCTCAAGAGGTAGAGGACATGAAGGCAGTTCCTTATGCATTGGCAGTAGGAAACCTCATGTATGTTATGTTGTGCACGCGACCTGATATTTGTTATGCCATGGGCATGGTAGCAAGATATCAGAGTAATCCAGGACCGGAACATTGGTCTGTGGTAAAGCATATACTCAAGTACCCACGTAGGACTAAGGAGTACATGTTGATTTACCAGGCAAATGAATTACTTCCGTTGGGTTACACCGATTCTGAATTCCATGCAGATCGGGACGAAAGCAAGTCAACCTCAGGGTTTGTGTTTACTTTAGGAGGAGGAGCCATAGTATGGAGGAGTATCAAGCAGAAATGCGTGGCGGAATCAACCATGGAGGCTGAGTATGTAGCAGCCTCAGAGGCATCAAAAGAAGCTGTCTGGCTCAGCAATTTTCTCCTCGACCTTGATGTGGTACCGAGTTTGCCCGCTGCAACCACAGTGTTCTGTGATAACAGCGGAGCAGTAGCAAATTCGAAGGAGCCACGGACTCAAAAAGCGAGTGAACACATAGAGCGCAAGTACCACCTGAATGAGAAATCGTTGGACGATGAGAAGTCGTTGTTGCCAAGATACAATCAGAGGACAACCTAGCAGATCCTTTTACGAAGAGCCTACCGGCGAAAGTCTTTACAAGACACGTAGAAGGAATGGGAGTCAGATGTTAGGGCGACATAGTAGACTAGTCTTTGAGAATTAGATTGAAAGAAATTGTGGTTATTTTGTTTAGCCATGAGCTTATAAAGCATAAGTGGGAGATTGTTAGAGGTATGCTGTAAAAGCTATGTTTTGCAGATTCTATCAATTCTATTTCTATCTGGCCATCATGTTTTGGTCAAAGTACATATGTTTGGAGTTTATTTATTTATGCAAATTATACTCCATGTCTTATATTGAGATAGTGTGGTTCGAAGAGTTTCGAACAGAAAGATCACCTATCGGTTCCTTATAAGACTAAACTATTCGTTCACAGTCTAGACAGCCAGTGAGACCCCTCTTGGAAAAAGACTGTAGTGTTCAGTTGGTCTTTGACTGAAGGATTACACTAGCACTTATGTTAAGTGTTGAACAGGACCACGGAAGGATAAGGATATGAGACTCACTGACCGTTGTTGTAACCTAGACCTTCAGTGATTAATGCGTTCTCTTAAGCTGTAAGATAATATAAAATAGGCATATATTTTTATTTCTTATTTATTTGATTTACCAAGTGATTCCTATTTTATTAGGATGACATACGAGGTATTTTGGTAAGTAAGAATAATTATATGATGTGATATTATAAATTATTTACGGTCACTATGTTCCAGTGCGCTGGATTGATGAAGTCCCCGAAATGAGCTCAGGAAAGTACATTATGTTAAACCCTGCAGGTAGACGATTGTCTGACATAATGGTTAAGGATCTGAGTGGTACTAATTTTGGAAATGATAAGAAGTTGATTAATTATTTTGTCAGTAATTTAATTAATCAACGGACGTTATATCTTAAACATAGGGAGGTAAATCGATCAATCAGATTAATATTATTTAATCATAGAGGCTCAATTTTATTGGTAAATAGTGGCTAAATGGGGAGAGCAATAATATTACTCTAGTGGGATCTTTTATTATTTAATTCTATTTAAATAGGAATTAGTTTTATTCTACATTAATTAATTTAATTAGGAGAATAAAATTCCTACTAGAATCTTCTCTTGGGATTTGGAGACTAAGGAGTCTTCTAGAAGATGGAGATTAGTAGGAAATATATTTCCTACATTAAAGAATTAATTGGAGTAGAATTAGGCTTCCTAAATTAGGAATTAATTTTATTCCATGATTATTAATTTAATTAGGAAAGATATTCCTACTAGGATCTCCTCTAGTGTTAGGAGACTAAGGAGTCTTCTAGAAGATGGAGATTAGTAGGAGATCTCCTTCCTACATTAGATTAGTATTGGAGTAGAATTAGGATTCCTAGGCCTAAATGGGATAAGCTCATATTTAGCACCTCCTTAAGGTCCCTAATGGAGCCTATAAATACACCATGTCCAAATCTCTCCTACATAGATATGCTGGCCGACTTTTCTCTCCACATACACACGAGAAATAGCTTTGTTCAAGAGTTAGGGAGATTCGATTAAACGCTCCACCAAGTTTGATCGAAGTAGGTGTTTAGGTAATCCATTAGAAGGCTTTTTGGTACAATATGTTGAGCCTCTAATATATATTTTATTCCGGTCATCATAATCCTCACATCGTCGCCCATCGCCGCCGTGAGCCACCGCCGGAATTTGCCCATCGCCGCCGGTCGCCGCTCGAACCCAGCCACGTGCAACCACACGCTACCGCGAGCAGCAGCGCACCGCCGAGTCCAGTTCGCGACGCCCAGCGACGCTCAGCAACGCCCACGAAGTCCCAGCGTGCTGCCTGTTCGCACGCTCGTTTGCTTCTGCTGCCAGCCGACGTCCGCCCGAGGTCCCAGCGCTCGTCCACAACGCGCCTTCCATTCCTCGTACGCCCAGGAGATTTGCAGCGCACGCCCGCGTGGTCCCAGACGCCAGCGCCCAGTCCGCCTAGGCATAGGAGTGCTGCCCCGCGTGCACGCACACGCCCAGCGCCAGTCCGCGACCGCCTAGGAGTCCCGCCAGCGCACGTCCGCAACACGCATGCTGCCAGCGCTCGTCCGCTGCAACCCGCGTACCCACACACTGTCCGCGCCCAACGCGCACAAGCCGCCGCTGCAACCCGACGCCGAGACCGAGCCACCGTGCAACCGTGATCCGTTTGACGTGTCGATTAGAATCGACTAAAGAAAAAATCTATCCGCCCATTAGATTGTGGTGTTCAGACGAACTTCATCAACGGTACTCTACATCGTCTCAGAGTCGG